GTTACCAACTCAGCGGGAGTTAACCGCCAACTGCCAGGACGCAGCCCCGGCTGAGCAGATGACATTTATAAAATGCAAAAAAGATATATACATGTGCATACAAGGCACTTGAAGTAGAGTACAGTCAAAATATATGTATATACATATAAATACTCAGATACAGATATATACACACTTACATACATATATATTTCGAAGCAAATAAAAGTATACATATTCTCACTCATATTCATATATACATCTATACGTTATCATGATAGTTAAAGTTTACATGAAACATGCCCATGAAGTACGCGTGATCCTTAGTACAAATTAGGTACCATAAATAAAAGATATAAACATGTACTGATACAGTACAGCATTCAGATACAGTAGAAACTTTGAGTCTGAAAACCTGGCACAGAATAAATACAAAATTACATGTTGAACATACGTACCACATACTCTGTTGCTGACATATTGAACTAGCTTATATAGTTCTAACGTGCATACTGCTATGCTTTGCAAAGCGAGTAATCTGTCTTCAGGTTAATAAGAGTGCTAGTTCGAGAAAAGTTAATGCCATACTGAAGGTGCGATGTCTATTTCTATGTGAACTTTGTGCTTAGAAATGGCTTTGTTAAAACCTAATGTGTGTTAGGTACGACTCAAGTTTGTACTTTATGGCGACTATCTTCCAGCGTCAGAAGAGTTATTGCTAGTACAGTACTCAATTATTGTTTTCAGTTTCCGCTGGGCAACTCTGTTACTTTGTAGATTCTGGAACCAATTTGGCCAGAATCTGGCTCCTGGTTGCTTGAGGCTGTCAAGTGCTGTGTGTGGGCGGGAGAACGCAAAATGGTCTGGATGACCCTCCTCCCCACATTCACAGTTACCATTCTTTCTAAAGCCAAAGCGGCAGAGGTATGAAGGGAAGTGCCCATGACCAGTGAAGAAATACGTCATGCAATTGCTATTAGTTTGGATTGTTGCCTTGACCTTTGGGAATGAGATTGTATACACGTCTTCCTGTGGTGGCTTGATTCCAACGTTCTTGCCATATTCTTAGGAGCTTATGGAATGTCTGATTCTTTAGGTCCAAGACTGGCCTAAGAGTCGGGACTTTTCGCAAAGTAGATGAATCTGCTGCTTCCTTTGCGATTACATCTGCTCTCTCATTTCCTTCTATTCCTGTATGAGCGGGCACCCAGATGAGTGAGGGTCTTTGCGAAGCAGGCATTTAGAATGTCTCTAAGGTTGCTGACGATAGGGCTGCGAGAACGAATCCCAGCTATCGTAGCGAGGCTTGAGGCTAAGTCTGTGTAGATGATATTGGGCACTGTGTGTTTCTCCTTCAGGTGGAGAAGAGTTGCTCTTATAGCTATGAGCTCCGCCTGAAAGACAGTTTCCAGAAGTGACAATCTTTTCCACTCGTACGTTAAAGCTCCTCCAGAAAGTATACAGAATCCGCTTCCATGCCCCCCTGGAGATTTAGAGCCATCAGTGAAAACACCATTTGCAAATCCCGCGGCCTGTGTACTATTAAAGTAGATAGTGTCCACAAGGTTATTTTTAGCAGGGTAGCAGGAAGCTTGCGGTATGTGATGCTCATAATCTGTATGGATATGGATTTGTCCTCAGAGACTCATGGTGCGTCGTAGCCTGCTTACGTTAACCACTGCAGCCTCTCGTTCAAACTAACAAGTCCAGAGGCGGCGTGCCTGCGATAATTTGTAAGGCTGCCGTGAACGTGGTATACGATATGTCTTGCAAATAAGAAGAAGCTGGTGTCGCTGTATAGAGAGTAGTGAACGTCTCATTTGGTAAGAGATGTTAGTTCCCCAAATAGCAGCGGCGTACAGAATAATTCTTTTCACCACTGTCTTGTACCATATTCTAAGCAAGTGACATGAGATACCCCATCTTAACGAGGTTGTTGATCGCATGGAAGTAGTCAGTCTGTTGATTCTTAACTTTAAAGAAGAGATGTGGGGTTGTCAAGAAAGTCTATTGTCTATTACTACTCCTAGGTACTTAAGTTGTTTAACACATTTAATGGAGGACCCCAAGAGTTTAAGATAGGGGTTTCTACATAATGGAGAGCCTCGACTAATTAAGAGTGCTTGTGTTTTAGGCACCGAGAGTTTAAGTTTATGCTCTCTCACCCAGTCAGCAACTAAATTAAGGCAATCCTGAGTTCGCGTTTCAAGGTCGCTTCGGCCTGCTACAATGAGTAAAAAGTCGTCTGAGTATGCTAAAAGCCTTTTTCCTTCTTTGTTTTCAAACACTGAAAAAACTGAGTTAGCAACTATGTTCCAAAGTACGGGTCCAAGACAGGAACCTTGCGGACATCCCCTCTTAAGACCTTTCCATACCAATTCTCTGTCTAACGTCATTAAAAGTCTTTTGTCAAGATAGCTGTGAATCAGGTGTCTTATGGAAGCAGAGCATTTGGGGGCATCCAAACTGTTCATGATATCTGGCCACCACAGCGAGTCGAAGGCTCCTTGAACATCGAGGGATATGATTGCTGTGTGCCTATCTTCCATTTTGTTAGTGAATATTATATCCAACAGCTAACTCAATGCGTGCTCCGTGGACATACCTGGTTTGAAACTGAATTGATTCTGATAAATGCTTTTAGATCGTTCAATGAAGTACATGAGTCTGCCGAGTACAACTCGCTCAAGTAATTTACTAGAGCATTCAAGAGACGAACCGACCTGTGTGAGGATGCAAGAAGCAGTTTTTTCCTGGTTTTAGAAAAAAGGCCAGTTCAGCCGTCTTAGTACCAGCAGGAAAATAACTGAGACGCCAGCATGCAGTCAAAAAAGCCAAGATTAAGACTGGGAATTTTTGGAAGATGATTTTAATCACTTGATAATCTAGTCCATCCGGACCTGGTGCTTTACGTGGTGAGAATGCTTTTATGATGCGGTCAACCTCTGCTCTGGATGGAGGAGGTTCAGTGTCTTGCATACCAAACATAGAGTAATTCTCAAAATTATGGCGTGGGAACGATGTTTTTCCAGGTCTGCCGGGATCCCTCCAGTGGCTGAACGGTAAAGTCGCTCAACACTGATGCTTCGATCTAGTTCGAATCCCAGTGAATGGGCTGGTTGCATGAACGTTTTTGTTATTTTTCCCATGTGTAACGTCAATACGAGCCAGTTTCCTTTAGACAGACTACATGATGGCATTTCTACATGATGGCATTTCATGCCTTAGGTAGATAATCCTTGGGTAACAATCAAATTAAATCAAGCTAATCCACAACCCACCCACCGGTGGTTAGTTATCCAGTGACTTTTAATCGCGATACGTTTTAATAATTTTTCTACATTTCCTTTAACCTGTAAAAGGTGGTAAAGTCTGAAAAGGTTTCACTTAAAAAGATGGGAAATAGGAATGCATTTCCATCCTCCTTTTAGCTGGATTGCAGAGGTAACTACGCAAGACTTTTGAAACATTTATTTTAGGTCGCCTTCGTTAATTTTTAGATAACAGACTAGATAATACAAAGGAATTTTTCCCCTCTTCTGCTGCCTTTTAAGGGGTTATCACATCTAGCGACGATCCCCGTTAGACCGGACCTTTCTGAGAAACGATATTCTGGTAGTATTGGTTTAAACGGGAGGATTCCTAGAAAAAAACAGCTCCGCTGGAAGCGAAGTCCCGCCTAGCTACGGAAACGATGGATATGGTTAAGCAGGATATTTTGAAACTTCGCCGAAAATGTTCCGTCTGCAGCTCTGTCCCGGGTTGTAGAGATCAACCAATCAGATGAAAGTTCTGCTTCTGAAGGATCACACGATCGCTATCTGGGCTACAATCGATTACTGTTTGGCGTTCAGATTTGTTTAGTAAGTGAAAATGGTAACCTAGTTACGTAGGTTTCGTGGAAATGTGCGGGTTCTGAGAAATGTCTATTTCGATCTCCAGTCCCGAGTAGCGGAAGCAAATGTGATAGGGACTTTATCCTTAAGTTAGAGAAACAGTTGCTATTTCGTAGTTGAAAGTAATTGTCGAATGATGGAATATTAATTTTTGCAAACACTGCCTTATATTCAAGATAGGTGTTAGTAGCAAATATTTCCTCAGCACGACTAAATTCAGTATACATTCTAATCAGTTTTAGATTGTTTTTCAAATTAAATACAGTTTGGAATTACATGTGTTGATTAACAGTTTTAATTTATACGCGAAAATAATGTTTGACTATTTGGTTCTTGTACAAATCGGAAATTCGCTTTAATTTTTCATAAAAATCGAGTAACAATTTCAGCTTTATCTATACATATTAACCGAATCCCCTTGCACTCTTTGCGCTATTAACTTCCCTTTTTTTCGTTTCAGTATTCTTTTTAATATTCTAAATTAGTTTCTTTTTTAATTATCATTTTCCCCCCTTTGTATTAGAGTAAATATTTCATCATTCAAACTATACCACTATTCATTTTTCTTTCTTGCATTTCTGTGATAATAACTTTTCTTGTTTCTTTTTTCTTTGTGTGTTTAATATCCTTTAGGTAAAAAAAGTTTCGTATTGATTATACTGCATTTTGCATCATTCAGATGCTACTATTAGTGTAGAATTTTAGAGAGCAAGTGAATTATGCGAAACACAGTGAGTTTTTTTGCCCTGAGTTAACATTCTACTATTTAGAGAAAACGGAAGGGAATTTACAAAACCTTATAGATGTGAGTAGTACTCACAAGGCGCGAAAGTCGTAGCAAGTGTCAGAGAAGGTCTTTGGAAAATGTCTATCCCCAAAGTTTGAGGAGTAGAGGGGCAGAATAATCTAGTTGAAATTTCGGTCAGAGTCGTCTTTTTGAGACATTGCTACTTATATTTCGGCCACCATCTTCTAAGCGATAAAATCTGGCTAATATTTTTTTTTCTAAAAATATTTTTTGCCCAAGCTATCTTGCAAATATTAAAAAACGTAGCTCAATAATCTCATTTAAAAATATGCAGTTCTATCTGAAAATTGGTTCTAATAAAATTCTTTTTCTTTCAGTCTGTCATTCAAATGCCGGGCTTCCGGAGCCTGGGCGACGAGGAGGAGGTGGAATTCGACTGCAAGGTGTCCGACAAGGGCCTCGAGGCCACCATCGTCACGGGTCCCGAGAGCCAGGACTGCAAAGGATCCCACCGGAGGCCCATGTCCAAAAAAAGATTCAGAAAGATCAGGTGAGAAGATCATAGTTGTACACCAGACCATTTCAAGCAAATTGTACTCTATGAGTAACTGTTTTTTTTACCCCTTAGGTGCTATAACTGCGGGGAATTCGCGAATCATATCGCGGCTAAGTGCACCCTGGGTCCACAGCCCAAGCGCTGCCACCATTGCAAATCCGCCGACCACCTGATAGCCGATTGCCCCCAGAGGGAGACCAAAGAGAAAGGATCACAAGCCAAGACCAATGGCGCGCCCCATCCCACATCCGACACCCCTTCCTCCTTCTCCCCCTCATGCTCTCCTGAGGAGGAAGATGCCGAGGAGAATGGTCACGAGTAACTCAGGGACTACTCATTCCCTTCTCCGTTCAAATCTCATCTCTAGTCCTCAGATCCTGGTTGCTTGACTTTCCCGAATTTTGTGTGATGACAATGTGTTTCGTCGCGGCCACGGTGAACGAGAAAAACTGCGCCCTTTCTGCCTTGTTCAGGAGTTGTAAATACTTTGCACGACGTCTTTACAATAAAGGCTTCCAGCTGTTACTTTAAAAAGTGAGCAGTCGGTGTTTTGGATTCATGTACCTTTGCGAATCATCTTTATGCTCACAAAAATCTTTACCCGGTTTTTATCTTCGCAACCGTTGGTCTTAAACATATACTTCCAGTTGTAAAAGTGTTTTAAGTAATGCAGATGCCCTTTTTCATATTTTTTAATTAAAAAATGTATAAAATAAAAAACCTAACTTTTTGCATGTTCTTCCTGTCCCTATAGTTATATTTTGGAAAATTTTGTACTCGTTATAAAAAATAAAACACAAAAAGTAACAGTCTCGTACAATAAAAATTGACTGAGGTATTTGATACTACAATTGGAAATCATATTCAGGAGCCGGATACTAATTAAAGAGCAAAATGTATGCATTTACACGTAATTTAAAATAAAATACAGGTTTAGAAAAAGGTTTCTGATATAAGTAGATTAAGCCATAAGCACTTCTGTGCTAATTATCGTGAGAAATACTGACCAATGCAATTATTTTGTTCAAAATGGAGATTTTATTCACAGAATCTTACGGAATTCCTGTTCTAGGAAAACACTGGCAGGCTTCAATATTGGCATGTAACCAGCTCAATATTATCTACATTAATTTTATTAAAAATGAGAAATAGGTTTCATTAATGAATGTTTTGTAAAATTACCAAATTATGATTCTAAAATAATAAAACATGATGAGAATATTAGTAACGTATTTTTAGACTTCGAAAACATATATATATCTGAGTTAAAATTATTGTGTACCAAATATATGTGTACCGATAAATATACCATATGTAATAAAATTCTAAAAAAGGCAATAGTAAATTAAAAAGGAATATCATTGAGCGGCATTTAAGGGGAAAAAACCAACGCTGAATTACCTTTATTTATTTATTAATCGGCTTTCAATACAAATTCAAAATGATGTCACGTATCGCAAATTTTGAAATTCAACATCTTGGTCAATTTTTGTCATTTGCAGCCAAACATTTTCTGCTTCACCTTTTGTAATGAATACAAAATTTTCTAAATATAATGGCATAAAATTAAATAATATAATAAATAGGAAATGGAGGAATGTTTAAAATATTAGATTTTCTATTTTATACAGAAATTTTTTTTAAATTAAAAAGCAACTCAACTTGGATATTTGCGTCATTTAAAATATTTTTGTAGTCGGAAGCGTAATCTACGACCAACACTTGCGAAAAGGAGGCTAGGTGAGGACTTAAGTGGACACTATATATACTATATTCATCGTAACAAAATTCAGTTTAATGTTAAATCAAGGGAAATGCAAAATAATTTAAGGAAATGTGACATTAAAAAATTAGCAAACAATCTGAACTTAGATTTTTAACTGAAATACTTTCCTGAAAGAAGACAATTCGAAGATTTAAAAGCAGATTTTTAGAGATAAATTTGAAGCAAAACTTATAAATCTGAAATAGTTCTCTGAAATGAAAATTATTCAAAAATTTTAATTTTCTTTTTAACTTAACGAGGGTCAATGAATTGCAATTATTATCTCGAGTACGAACTTTGTGCATTGCTTCATACGTTATGCATTTGTTATTGTGCGTACTTCTATAGAAAATACCAGCTATTTAATGTTTGTAACATATAATTTATCATACTCTGTTAATTTTAAATATTTTTTCCAATTTTAAATAAGTTTTAAAAAATTAATGATAAATTTTGAAAATTGAAAAGTAAATAAAAAATAAAACTAAATTTATTTTTAATAAAAATTCGTCATTTGCCATACTTTTCAGTAAGCACTATGAACTAAAATGAATTATTGAAGACTGAACAAATATGGTGTTCATTCTTTAAATAAATTTACTGAAAAGATATTTTTGGAAGAAATTTTAATTAATGGCTTATTAGCAGCAAATATATGTTTTTATATTTTAATACAATTCAATGTCTTCACTTTTGATTTCTTGAATTAACTGTTTACTCTTCCAACAAATAATCTATGCAACAATTTAGATTGTAAATAATTTTGTAAAATCTCACAGTTTTAACAAAATCATTCGCGAATCAGTTAAAGCACTTGCTTCAATCAAAACATATCCCCATAGCACTTGATACAGGATTTATCCACATGTTTATCCTCCCTCTTCTGAACAGGCGAAAGCCAATCTTTGAAAAAATAAAAGTAAAAATAATGTCTGATGTGATTGCAATTCGAAATTTTATGGTAATGAAAGAATCTTTCTGTATCATAGTTCATGTACTAAATTCTTTTGACGCACAGGCAGAAAGGGTAATAAAGAATCTTCGAACATTGAAAGTATTTTCTTCACCATGTGAATGTTATATGGGACAAGTTTGGCGTGTATTGTATTTGTAGATGGATGAAAATATCGTATTGAAACGAAATACTGCTTTTATTATAAAACGAGAATGTGACTTTCATGTGCAAACAGTAATTTTTAATAAATAACAAAACATATTCTCAATTTTTTATTCCATATACATATGAAATTAATGCAAGAATGGATCACCAGGTAATAAAGATCACCTAAGATAATAAATAATTCAAGAAGTAAAATGTTTAAAAAAAGAATTGATTTAATATTAAAAAAAGAAATTAATTCGACCTAATTACTATGTTTTAAATACTCCCCGACAGATAGCATTACCAACTATCTACACAAACGGGATATTGTTTGTGCTGCCATCTGTTGTGCAAAATGTATACTGAACACTTCCTTCAATCTTGAGTTTTAGAATTGTCATATAGATGGCAACACGTATTTTATTTTCCATTTTTAACTAGCTTCATGAATAAGAATAATATGAGATTAAATTATTATTCCATTTAATTCAAATAAGTAATAATAATTTCGCGGTTAATTGAACAGTTTTTTTTTTTTTTTTTTTTTTTTTAAGCTAATTTTTCCATTTCTCCCTGTAATTTGCTATACTAAATTGCTTTACGGTTTTAATTCAGAATAAAAACAAAAACGTGCAATTTAAGTTAGCTGTGCAATTACGCTTTATTAAGAAGAAAATTTCTTCTACATAATATATAAAATCTACAGCGCATTATTTCAAATATGGATAAATTCACGATTGTTGACCAGTACTGAGAACTGCATGACAATGAGTATTATTATTTCCATTCATTTAAGTCTCATCTTAGGATATTAACACACAAAAAAGTCGGAATGATATAGAAATGTCTATCTTCGCATTAGCAAAACCTGCTGACTAGAAGCTTTTGCCAGAGTACAAATTTTCCTTTATGAACCCATTGCCAATTTAACTTTTGTAATCATATTTATTTCAGAACAGATTGGAGCAAAGCGCATTAGGGTTTTTTGCCTGATGGTAAGGAGGTCTTTCTAAGGGAATTGGCTTGAGTAACGGAAGGGTAGGATTGTTGTTATATATCTTTTAACCTTTCGGTTCTTCAAAAGGAAAAATAAATTTAAAACTAAAAATTATAGTTCAGTTTTTGGTTACGTTGCACTTTTATAAGCGTTCTTCGTTAAGAGGTCTTGATTTCTGAGAATATCTATAATAATAAAAAAATTTTCATCGTCTATTTGGTTTATTTTTCTGACAGGTAAACATGTGTTTCGTATATTTCTAATGACAAAACATCACTCGGCATTTTCTGAAATCCTCTTCTTTTCTCAAAATACTTTAAATTATTTGCATGACTTCTATATAAACGAAATGAATTTGAATACTGGCCCACTTTTAACACTGATCATATGTTTAATTATTATTTACAACTACTTTTGGCCTGCTGATGATCTTAGTATGCTTTCCTTACAACTCACTTTTTGTCATTTTACAGAAATTCTTGATTAATTTTTTAACTAATAAAAACAGAAGAATAAAATTCAAACTGAGATGAAAATCTGTAAGCTTTGAAAAAGCTACCCAGTTAGTAAGTAGATTAATTAATGCAGAAACAGACCAACTCTGGTGGCCTGGAGTAGGAGCATGACAGGTGGACTTCATTTTAAGAAATCCTTACTAACATTTTTTTCATAAGCAAAGAAGTACAATTTTTTTAAGGATTCAATCAAAATTTGTAATTCTTTGGAAAAATTACCCAGTTAGCAATCAGAATCATAACACCAGGTGTGGTGTCTGACAGCATGTATAACGCCGGAACTATAAAAGTGCTACAGTGACCGAAAATATATTATTAAGATTAAATGACTTATGACAATGAAATTAAGAGAAAATTAATGAAATTAAGCTTGTTTAAGCCGTCTTGTTTGTTATCATCCAATTGCAGCACCATCCAAACTCAGACCTTAGGGGTGAGGAGAACAAAGTCCTTCAAATTCAGACCTTAGGGGTGAGTTCAAACTCAGAAGGAGGGGGAAAAAATCTAATAGAGTTTTTGATTTGTTACAACATCTTAAAATTGGTCAATTTAAGCTATCTTGTACAGAAATTCATGCCTGATTTCAAATAGCAAACACTAGGAGAAAAGTTTATATTAATTTTAACTCAATTTTCATGAATTCAGTTTTTTAAAAAATAAGTAAACAGGGCAGATCTTCATCGACGATTGCTGAATTTGGTCAGTGTATGGCTGATAAGCTGCTATCGTGAAAAATGTCATTTTGAATTATTTTATCAGCAACCTATTTTAAACTTTCCTAAAAGCGAATTCTGTAAATAATCAGAAATGAAAAGTCGCGTATTATGAAGAAAGTTTACGTACTGCATTTTATGGTAGTTTATGCTTTTGTGACTGATGAAATTACTAGTTTTAATTAAAGAGCTACTGAGTAGCTTTCTGACAACCCATTTTTATCAAATGGCTTTAATCTAAAGCATAATCAACTGCTTTTGCTGGAATGAAGGAAACTATAAATTAGCTTTTAATAAAAACATTGGTTTTTATATTTTTTACTGCCTTGTCATGAAAATCGCAATTTCCTGTCACATTCGAACTGATACGACATATCTGTTCATGGTATTCGATAAAATTCTTCATCGGCTCAAAGCCAAATCATTTTAAAATAGTTCGGAAAGACTAAAAAGAAACATATAATGTTGGAGGTGAGCACTCGATCTCCGTGTAACGTCGTCGTTGTTTTAATTTGGATGGAACCAATCCTCCACCATCAGCATGAATGTGAAAAGATCTTCTTTTGTGTGTATGTACAAACATTTTAGTGAAGAACTTCGGTTTTAAAATGTTTCATCTATTGTTGCTTAATAAACAAGTTTGAAACTTTTTAAGAAAACTGTAATGAATAAAATTAGAAGGTATTACATTATAAATAAAGAAGTGAAAGTATTGTTTCTGCGTTTTTCTTGCTGTCTTGTTTCACTGAATTGCATGCAATGTACACATCTATTGTTGTAACACATTGTGTCCCATAAGGTCTGTATTAGAAAACAATTTAACAAGTAATAAAACAGTTTAGTGCAATATCCACCGAAGAGCCACTGCATTAGGGCTACCTTTAACACTCAAAACTGCCAGCACCCGGCTTGGCATTGACTCTGCAAGGTTTTGATACGTAGTCTGAGATATCTGGTACCAAGCGCTCACCAAGTGGTCCTGCGATTCCCGCACATTGCGAGGGGGTAGCGTGGCAGCACGAATTGGGTTTCCAGGTGGGACCACAAAAGCTCTGTTGAAGTCAGGTGAATTTGGAGGCCAAGACATGACGTGAAAGTAATTGAAATGTTCCTCGAAATAATCCCTAATGATTCGACCCTTGTGAATAGTGCATTATTCTATTAGTAAACACCATCCCCAGTCGGAAATACTGTTGTCATGAATGGGTAAACCTTGTCTATAACGATGTTCACGTAGTCGCAGACGTCAGGGATTGTTCTATGGGGATTATGGGTCTTAATGTGCTCTATGAAAATATTGCTCACACCACGATACCCCCCGCCACCGTCTTGGCTTCGTCCAACTGTGCGTCAGGGAGCCAGGATTTCGTTTGGATATCGGCCGTTGATATGATGGACCAGAAAACGTCATCCGTCTGATCATGCAACTTTCTTCCATTCTCGATGGAATTTCGATGTTTCTTGGCCCATTGCAGACGCAACTGGCAATGACGCGTCGTCACAAGTACATAAGCAAAAGTGCGTAAAAGAATACAATGCAAAACAAGTACAATGAAAGACAAAGCAAATGCAAAAAAAATTATGGAAGGAAATGTGAAAAATGACTAGGTGATAGGAAGGTCAGTCTTTTTTGTGGTGTGTTGCAAATGGCCTTAGATCATAGTCCTCTTCAAGTATTTTATAGCTGAAGAGATTAAATGAATTTAAGTATTGACATCCAAGTGCTTTATCAAAAACTTTGTGTATGCCTTGTTAAGATAAGTTTCAATGGTGTCAAGTCTGAGATCTTCATGAAGTGTGACATTTCTGACATAGTAATATGCTTTAGTGATAACGCGAATGTTTGGGAAGACAATGCATAAACACTTTATATACAGTCGATTCCGATTAATCAGACCACATCGAGAAGCGATCGTTTTCTTCCTAATAACCGGCTGGTCCGATTACACGAACATGTCCATGTTGTAAGACGGGACGCGCTATATGTAGCAAACAATGTACTTATGACCTTTATTGTGCGTTACACACATATGGCAAACATACATGTACAAATAAGAACTACAGTCGAACTTTTTCATTGAGAAAATTAATTTAGAAATAAAGAAGATGCTAAGAAACGATCTCCACAATACTCAGCATGCGAAGCACAATAAAAACGAGTTCTTACCAAGTTCCAGTCAACATTTGAAGAACTTATCCAATGTTATCTGACGTGTTCTCTTGACGGACTGCACATGAACAAAATCGCCACAAACATCTAACGCAGCAATGGGACTGCATTCATTTACATCCTGCATGAAATACAGTCGCAAAGTTTCAATCATTTCCTCACATCCTGCGTTGTCACTTGCGCCAGCTTATTAGCGGCATCATCATCAACACTTTCTTGGTCTTTCGATGCTGTCGTGTGTTTTGCTACAACTCGAGCAACAATTGCAGATTAGTAATCTTCATTTTCATCGTAGCTTTGCAGCTCGTTGTGGACGGGTAAAAATTCTTCGCAATTTTGTGCCTGTTGAAGTTCCACATGTCCGTCATCATTTTAACTTTCAATGAGCATGTCCACATCCATCTCCAAGACCAAGTGCTTAAAGCCAAAGTGAGAAAAACAGTTCTGAATTCCCTTTTCGCCAGCTGTCGGTCACAAATGCTAATAACCTCGCTGGCGGCTACTGGTGGCTCTGTTTTAAGGAAGATCAAAGAAAATGGTGCGCGTGTTCACCTCCCACTGATTTTGCTCTTGTCATGTACCTTAAGGAATTCCTGACTTTTGATAAAGCATTTTCCTGGGGAGCGCAGCTACAGATCCTCCCATATGTCTCGAACCACCTGTACATCCGCTGTACGCTGCCGACTTGTGGCTTCTGTTTCTTATTCACTCTCACTTTTTCGGTCCGATAAACGGAATTTCGGCCCAAATAAGCGGATAATATTAGGCTTATGTACATAGGATTTGTTTCGGTTCTTTAGGATTCGGTCCAAAAAAGTGGCTGGTTCGATTGTCTAATGGTCCAAATAACCGGACTCGACTGTACTCCAATATCAGCCGCGCACGCGCAGTGGTTTTCCTGGGCGAGCTCATTGTTATAGATGGAGGGTGGTCATAATGTAATGGCTCTTCGCTGTATATGCTTTAGTCCTTATGCAATGTTTGAAAGTGCTCTTGGTTTCCCTTCTTTGAAACACCAATGAGAAAACCACGGGCAAGAACACAAGCGAATATAGCCAACCTGCACAATAGTAGCGCATCTTCTTTGGAAGTTGGTCATTGTTTGCTGACATACAAGGGTACCCTGGCACACTGATCGGTTCCCGTAATAAAATTCAGTTTATGTCACTAAGAAAGCAGAAAATTGTCTGTCCTTTCATAGGAGGCAGTGGTGGCCTACCTATTAGGTGCCTCCATAATAAAAAGACCACCGATCTGGACTTAGGAGAGAACGACACCGGCTTACGCAAGTGCCTGCCATTAGGAAAAAAAAGGAAATTAAATGAAAACACACGAATGTGTTGAATTTCTCAGTCGTAAAATTTTTTATCGTTGTAAAGAATTCTGTTAAGTTCACAGATGTTCAAAGCAAATGAGTTATAGATTCAAGAAACTTGTTAAAACTGAAAAAAGTGAAATGATGATGTACCCAGAACATGAGTTTAAAAAGAATCCATTTTTGGAATGTCAGTGAAATATTTGGTATTATTTCATTTCCTTCCCACTTTACACTGAAATAAATTAGAATAAATAATTGTACTAGTGTTAAAAGAATTGTGTATGTTAGAAATACATTTAGCTAGGTAATTCAAACACAACATGTCACGTGATAATTTATTCGCAGAACTATTGATATCAATAGGTTGCTAAGCCATACGGCAGTCAGAATCAACCATATTATAACGATGCACTGCGTGTGAGAGAACCATTTAACATTCTGTTATTTTTTTAAATCTATACAAAGTTCTATAATAGAACATTTGTTACTTCAACTGGGATTTCCATGCAATCATTTTTCTGAAAAAAAAAATAAATAAATAAATACAAATAAAATATCGATATTAGAAAATATTGATATTAGAATTATAAATGTTTTGCGAGACATTTGTTAACAAAGGCTTTACACTAAAAAAGTAAATACCGTATTTCAGGTTTCTTTTAGAGAAATGAAGGTTTAAGTTTCTTTTAGAGAAATAATAGTGGGATAGTTATTTGTAGTTTATCTATGATTATTTTCCATTAAGTTCTTACTGTAACCGCGTTCTTTGAAAATTAAATTATTCTCATAATTTTCCCCTCTCTATTTTCGGACGATAAAATTAGTGAAAAAAAAAAGGGAGAAATACACTTCGAAATATTGTAAATAAAATGTAAAGCTGCTAAAAAATAGCTGATTTCATAAACTGGGGTAAGGAATGAAGAAGACGTATCTTTGATTAAAAATTGATTGTTCATTGCATGAAATAGAAAACCGTATGTTCAAATTGCGGAAAATGTGAACTCTGATAACTGAAAGGAATTAAGATAAGCAAAATTTGTTTTCATATAGAGAAACCACTCACTTTGAAATGTTAAATTTTGATAATTTAGAAAAATTTATGCTCTTGGTTAATGAATAAAAAATTCTCAAATGCTTAATAGACCACAGAATTTTACTTTAGTTTCTTTTACTGCACACTGTCACCTGCCACCTATTACATTTACAGTAAATTTGCAACTATATTTAAGTTCTCATCCAGAAAATATTCGAATATTTTTCAAAAACTTCTCACAGATGCATTGATTGTTTACGACAGCAACGAAAAATTCAGCTATAATTTGAAAACTTCACATTACAGTCTACGATCTCGTAGAGAGTAGTATTAAAATATCAAAAAATAATTTTCTAAAGGTGTTTAAAAATATTAAAATCATATGATTAAAATAAAATGCAAATTAATTTTTGCATGCAGTCATCGGTTTAACTCCTGGAAACAATTTGAAACTAAGCAATTAAGATAGACATACTACTAGTTTAAGAATTAGTTCCTCCTATATTAAGAATGTAGAACGTAAAAGCTCTCATTTAAAATGAGTTGTTCAAAATAGTAAAGTTAAACTGAAAATTAAAAAAAAATCTTTGACATTACTTCGTTAACTAACTTCACATGGAAATTTGTGGATTTATTTAATAAATGAAAGACCTAATTATTTATTATATAATTATGCTTTTATTCGATCGAACTAAGCTTGCAAAAAATACTTCCCTCAAGTGGAAATAATTTCTTTTTCGCTAGGATATCAAATCTACAAACTCAAAAGATTCGAAAAAGCCTTCAATGTATTTAAAAACAATCAAACTTTAGACATATTCATAGTTAGCAATAATTCAGTTCAAACAATTTAATTCAAAGTACCTTTTTTTCTTAATTAAGTTCTGGTAATCTTTCTTCTCACTCTATTATCTCAGAGAAGCTACAAAGCATTATCTACAAAAAGTAGACTAGGTAGAAGGTAACTACTACGTCATTTTTAGGTCTTGCCTTTAAGCATGTAAGATTCTGTGCTGTGTCCTTTCAAGGTACAGTTGAAGTTGAAGAATCTTAAGAACTGATCAGCTAATAATCGCTTGAGTTCGTGAGATAGAAAATAACGCGTAAGAAGGGTGAAATTACCCTTTATTATTCCAACAAAGTTTAACAGAAATCCGTCTTGAAGTTTTATAATAAAGCCGCCACTCGGGC